CACTTAATATTTAGGGTACCCAAAGAGGGACCATAATTTTGAGAAACCACCCATGTAGGGTGTAGGGATTAGGGTTTTAGGATTTAGGGCTTTTGGGTTTAGAGCCAGTTTGAGGTTTTAGCTTATGGTTTAGGGTGAGAAGGGAATAAGGGAACATGTTCAGGTTACATAGGGATCATGGAAAACAAAATGGAAACTACTACATTGTAATAGGGTATATACGGGGGTTAGAATAAGGAATACGGGAATATAGTATATAGGGCAATGTAGGGAGCATACTGTCTTATTCCCTGCTGAGCACCAGTAGGTATTTGGGATGTCAAAGGACAGTCAAAGGACCTAAACGGGCCTCCTAATTCGAGGAACCTCCAATCCCTCTAAACCACTATACAACCCAAGTGTCCATGTCATGTCCATAATCTTTTCCATCTGATTCTCCATTACTGGGCACTACAGAATAAGCCACGCTATTTAACAAGCCGCTAGTCTTGGGATAATTTCCCTGAACCCTGTTAAATCCGTAAATGCTCCTTGTGCATCCCTTTCATAATATCCCTCTGCGAATCGCATATGCAATCTCCCCATATGTAGAGCAAGTGGCTGCAACCGCTGCGCGGCCAAGATCTCCTTTGCCTTTGGTGGCCTGTCAAAAGGTCTTGTGAGTGCGGGCCTTGCAGCAAACCTGTGCATAAAAAGAATAGACACAAAACCATGGCTCCTTTTCGTAAGTATCCCTGTCACTTGAAAACGGTAGTCCTGAAAGAGCCTCCGCCACATTGCAGAGGATCGCCAGGGAAGGTTTACGCACGTCTGCATGCCAGTCTGAGGCCGTTATAGCAAGCCTTGGAGGCTTGCATGTATAGGGCGTTGTAGGGGTCATATAGGGGTTTCCTAGAATTAGGAGATACCTTTTTAAGGAAGTCTGGCCGATGCTATCTTCTTAAGTCAAACACTTCGGATGCCAATTGCATCTCCTACGCAAGAAGCAGACAATGCTCACCTTGACTAAACCCTATATAACACAATTGTAATAGTTTCCCTTGTCTTTTCCATTATCCCTATTAATAACCCTAATATAACCCGAATATATACCCCAAGATACTATATAGTAGTTTACATTTTGTTTTCCATTCTCCCTATATAACCCCCCTATTGTAACCCCGAGATAACCTCTATATAACCCCAATATAACCCCCTTACATCCCCCTTTAAAGGTACCATAATATACTATAATATACGGAAACTAAGAGTGGCGTGGGAGGTGCCAGAGGCTTGGGTCCAAGCGCTGCCAGCAATGCTTCCTGGCCAAGCGGCGGCACAAACGAAGGTTTCCCAAAAATTCGGGGAACCTTTTTAAGGGGGATATAGGGGGCTATATAAGGATTATATAGGGGCATATTGCGGTCATATAGGGTTTCCCAATTTTTTTCATGGGTCCCCATAATAAGGATGAAAGTATGTTGGGGTTTGGGAAAGTACCACATGATGTCAATCGCCCATGTCAGAACCAACACTTCGAGCAGATGCACAAGAGACGCCGACAGCATGCCGGCGTTTATACAGGTCTGAGAAAGGTAGTTTCCATGAATAGGGGGACCCTAATGTAGTCCCGAGCCCTAAGCAGAAATTAAACCCTACATATTTTTAAAAACCACATGTATACATACCCGTATAGCCCCTTTAAAGGTATCCGCAATTTCAATTCTGGGACACCCTAAACCCTATATCCCCTATATATAACCCCTATAAGCCCCTTTGACGTTATTGGGAAACCCATATGAGCTCTACTCTAAACTCCTAGTATACCCCTTAGTAACCCCAAAAGTAGTCCCCTATATAATCCCCTATATATCCCCCGTTTGAGGAGTTTAGACTTTAGCTCATATGCTTCAGGAATGCTGAGCCCCACATCGTCCTGGTCTCTTGGAGTGGCGCGGCAGGGTTTCGCGAGGAGCTCCGCACCTTGGGCAGGGCAGCAAATTTAACCAAGTTATATCAATATTGTAGCATAATATAGTATACTATAGTATATTATAATATGTTATAATACATAATGGTATATTGTAGTTTATTTTGGTATACTGTAGTATATTGTAATGTATTGTCTTCTTAACCCAAATGGGGGTTTCCCCAAGTTAGGAGTACCTTCTGGGGGGTCCCTATACTAACGGTTATGCTATGATGGGGTTAAGTAGCCAAGTTACGCCTGAAGAAGACTCACAGCCTCACTGCCAATGGGTTACTATCTGCTTGCTATCTCCGCGTGCTTGCATTCTCCAATGCTAGCAGCGCCGGTAAGGCAACAATGCCACAAAGTAAGCAGCAGATTGGGAGGTAGCACCGAGCATAAATTTGCAAGTCTGGCGTTGAAGCTTTTCTCCTTGGCAGCGATCTGTACAAGCTGAAAGGGCTGCCGAACTTTGCACCGGCGGCAGTGATGACGCTCATGGCCAACATCAACTGAGTCGATGGCTCTGTGAGTAAAGGTGCTAACTGCTAAAGTGTGAGACCCAAGACTCACTCCCCATCTTCCAGGAACATCTGCGGAGATGCTTTGCTGAGGCGCGGAACATCTCAGTGCACAGGCGCCATGTGCTAGACCCACTAACCGTAAACCCCCCATCAGCTAGCGAGGGCTTGCCATCGCGCTCCACATGCGCTCGAGGGGCTGTTTTCATTGACCAAGGCTTTTGCGGGTTCCTGGTGGATCGTAGAGGCCATGATCAGAGATGATCGCTCCACTCGTTCGATTGGGTTCACGTTGTCCTGTGCAAGAAACGCATGACGGGGACTTGAGCTAAGCAGTACTGTCGCAAGCTCTCGCAGCTTGGTCAACAGTTCTATGAGAGCAGTTTGGACTCAACTCTTGCTTGCATCTGCCCACCCACGCCAAGCGCAAAACAAAAGATACTTGAAGAGGCTTGGATCCTTGATGCCGTGCTTTCAGAGCTATAGGCTTGTTCCATGACTGCAGTTGGTAGGCCCATTGCATTCGACACAACTTGAAGCCTTGCAACAAAAAAAGACATGACATGGCAAAAGACTGTCTCCTAACCATGTTGAAATAAAATTTGAGGGTCCTGGATGGCGCACTCCATGACTGTCTTGTCAAAGCCTGGGATCAAAGCTCAAGTGAATCAAGCTTGGAGAGAGTGGCTGCTATCAACTTCTGTGTGCTGAGACCTTCTTAAAAAAGAAGGCTGCAAAACAGACGAGCATCAGACCGAGAGAGATTTTGAGCCAGGCAACAGTGTGTTGCGGCAATGACAATGTGAAGGGTGGCGTCGCTCAGCTCAAGTGCTCCCGACCTGGGCAGGCAGCTGGGGGCGGGAGAAGTTAGTTCGTGAAGGGCCGCTTGCAAGGACAAGGTACAGGGTTGTCAGGTCTAGCAAAAGTACAACACGGCCCGTTGACTGATAAAACCCTCACACTGAAACTCAGATGATGCACAATGACCCCCCGCAATCCCTAAATGTCGGCAGTGCTGCGAAACCAGGCCGACATTGAACTAGGTACCATTGGGTACCCATGTGAACTAACTAGCCTGCCTGTCGAACCCTGTTGATTTGCTGTCCATGCTGCTTGGTGATGGCATCAAGTAGGTCGAACGCCGCATCCTGCAAGAGAAGGTGCAGAAATACATGCTTCAGAAGTATAAGTGGGGCACGCATTCAAGCAATGCAGCATAGTTCTCATCGATGCAAGGATTCCTCCGAGGGGGACTCCTTGAAGCTTTAGCAGCACTGATAGCCTGGAGAAGATGATGTCGTGCAGGTGTAGCCTAATTACTATTGGCCGAGCTATTGATGCGCATTCGCACACTTTCAAATTTCCCGGGCGTTTGTCAGCACAAAGGCTCAACCCAATATCTCTCAGCTGCTGTCCTTTTCGCGCTTCTGGTCATCACTGAGAAGCTGTGCGGTGGATGGCTGTGCCAGCAATGACTTCTGAGATTTCTTGCTCCACACGCTTCCTGCCAGGGTGGGGCAACACTATCTTCATCCCTCTGTGTAAGCAGCTCCCTCTGCGCCGCTTCTTTGTCTGTCAGAGTGTAAGAGAGCAGTCTTTGCAAGCCCGAGAGGCTTCAGCAGCTCTCACGACTCAGTACACATCGACCGAAAGAAAGTCTGTGACCCGACGTGAACTGCAAGTCGAACCACCCGAACCGCCTCAGGCTGGAAATCCTGATTGAACAGGAACCGGTTTTCACCCCACCCAGTCTTGGCTGACCACCCAGGGCCCTGCCCCTAGTTGCACTTTCTACCCAGGTGGGCAAAGATGTGTGGGGGTGGGACCGTGAGAGGAAGGTGGGGCGGGAGCCTGATCCATTGGCTTGTCTGACTCCCAGTTTTCAGCGTCATAGTTAATGCTTCAGAATTACAGTGCCAGCGTTGTCATTGCCTGTGTTCAGCTTCGTTGGCCCTTGCGGCTACGACAGCTGTGCTGCAAAAGAGCCGCTGCTGCAATTAAATGAACGTGCCCGCATGCCTGCAAGCCACCCTATAGCTTCATCTGGGCCTACCTGTTGCAAAATGTGTCGGATCTGTCGACTGAGCTGAATGCCGTTGCAACTGCACGGCATACAACCCTAACAAAGCTGCCTGAGGTTTAAGGGGCTGCAGAACCTTCCAAGAAAGTTACTTGCAAGCTGACGGTGAACTTGAACAAACCAGCCTGGAGTGATGATTGTTGGGCGCAGGGCGCTGTCAGGATCCAACTTCTCGAACTGCGTTGCAGAACTCTGCAGAAAAGGTTTATCAACAAGAAGACTTCCGGGCGCCTGCTCGTCCATCTCCTGCGGCACCTTTGCTGATTCCGCTTGCCGATATCTGAGAGCTTCACTGTTGAACACGCAAGGCGTGTGCCTGTGCATAATCTCTGGTGGCGCCGCTGTTCGCTCCCGGTCCGCTGCCTACAAGCGGTTGGCATCGAAATCCCCTGGCTTTCTTGTAGTTTCCCAAAAATAGGAGGACCCCAATGTAGGACCCAAAATCCGATAATGCTGATTCTGGCGAACCCAGGTACTCCTAATCAATTTTGGGAAACCCGCACTTAAGCCTAAACCTTAATCCCTAAACCCTAAACCTTGGGTACTGCGCCCTCAGTAACAGTTGGATAATGCTTATAGTATAGTTATATATAGCCCTTAATAGGACCCCTAATATAGACTGTTACTGGGTGGGGGCAGTACCCAACCTAAACCCCAAAAACCCTGAAACCCTAAAACCCTAAAACCCTAAACCCAAAACCCTATATAACCCATTATGGT